TGTAAGGAGAGACAGGTCCTTGGAGAGAGACATCATGCTTGGGAGGCTGGAGGGACAGTGCAGGAGGGGAAGACCCTCTATGAGGTGGATTGATTCAGTGACTGGGGTAATCGGGATGGGTGTGTCAGAGGCCGTGGGACTGGCACAGGATAGAGCAGGGTTTAGGGCTGTTGCACATAGGGTTGCTATGAGTCGCAAACGACTTGACGGTACATAACAACAACAACACTATAGGAAGCCACTGCACACAGATAACCCATGGACTCTCCTCAAGCCAAAGAATGTTAAGAGGTGAGCAGATGTCCAACCACAAACGAATGGATTGAGAAGTTGTGGTACATTCATACGAGGGAATAGTACATGCAGCACGCAGGAGCACTGATCTTGTAAATTCCTACCTAACTTGGGAGGGACTGGAGTGCATCATGCTGAGTGAACTAACTCAGTCGCACAAGGACAAATAGTCTATAAAACCATCAATGTAGAACGAGTATGAGGATCCCAGGGTGGGAAAGGTGAGGGGTGAGGATGAGCAGGAGGGCTGGGTTGGGGTGTTAATCATAGGGTTGCACAATCCGATGGCTGGGGAGGTAAAGGAAATGGGAAGGATCTTGTGTGAAACACAATGTACTTGAACTTTGTAAATAAATCAGTATAAAATAAAAGGGGGGGGAGGCAAGTATAAACCACAGATCTAGCAAAGGCAGCTGTGATTAATTCAGCGCTGCCCACCACATAGCGGTCTTAGAAAGACCAAAAAGGCCAGCACACCCAGAGCCAGCTCCAGCTGATTGTTCATAAGAAGCCAAGCAAAAATGACAAATCCTGATGTATCTACCAGCATAGCAGCCTATACCAGTAAAAGCCGCCCTCTCTCCACTAAAAACTACAGTCATCTGGGCTCCATAGTTTCCTGTGTCTGGAGACAATGCATTCACTGAGGTCATGGTTTAATGGAACAGCCCAGCAAGCAGAGGATGCAGGATATAGCCAGAGGGGAGCTCAGAGTTTGCTATTCTGAAAGAAAATAAAGAAGTGTAAGCAACTAATGGCCCCCAGGAGCAGCCCAGCAATGGTGTCCCACATGCGGATGCCCTGCCAGGGTGGCAGCACAGCTGAGACTTGGGGCACCCCCAGGAGAGGCCCCCCAGCATTCACTCTCATCAGCACATCACCAGCTGTCTTGGGTGGGTGCCATCTGACCCATGTCCCCAGCCTGAGAGAGCCAGGCCGCCCAAAGTGTGGGGCATTTCAATATTAACTCGGGAAAATTAAGTAGCATTAAAAATTCAGCTCCTCGGGCACGTCAAACACATTTCAAGTGCTCAAGAGCCATGTGTAGCCAGTGGCGACTGTACCAGGTGGCCAGATACAGAGCATTTCTGTCACTGCAGAAAAGTTCCACTGGACAGTGCCATGCTACGTCCCACTCACTGGCAGCTGAGAGGCTGGGAGGCGGAGTCAAGGCAACCCCAGCACCCTGAGGGCACTTCCATTACCCACCACTGCCCATCAGTGACACTGACAGCCACGCCACAGCCACCGGGACTTCAAACACCAGCAGGGTCACTGATGCTGTGTCCAGGCTTCAGCAGAGCTTCCAGATGGGGAAGAAAGGCCACAAACTAGCCATGCAAACCCCATGACCACAGCTGAAATTGTGGGCTCTGGTGATGAGAGATGAGTCCCAGAGGCTGGAAAGCACGGAAACCACACAGTGGCCACAAGGGACTCAGCACATCAACAGCCACGAAGATAACGCAGGGCCCACAGCACTTCCTTCTGCTTTTCACAAGGTCGGAATGAGTCAGAGCTGAGCTGAACCAACACCACCATGACCCAGGGCCAGTGCCTGGGAAACCCTGGGCTTAGTTTTCCAAATACAAGAGTTGATGCAAACCAGTTACTTGCTGACTGATTCTAACAACCCCTGGATTGGAAGATTGCTGCCCACCAGGGACACTCATACTTAGAAGACCACCTTTTCCCTCCTTTCTGCTCACATCACAGGTTTAAGAGAACACTGGGGTCTATCAGAGCCAATCACAGGAGATGAAGTCTCGGCACAAGCTATGTTAAGGTCTCAGGGACCCCACCAGGATGCCAACCTGCGACTCCTAATTGCACAGTGGCCTAGGAGGACTCCCGGCTTCATTGGTGATGCAGAAACAACCCAGGGTGGGATGGACACAGATGCAGGCAGTGGAGACTCACGCGGGTGTGTTTTAGAAAGTAAAGACTGTATCTAGTACTGATCATCAAGACCCAAACCATTGTTGCCGAGTCAATTCCAAGTTATGGTATGAGGGTCTACAGAGGGTACACTTGACCGCTAACCAGTGGTTCAAATACACGCAAGAGTATCACAGAAGAAAGGCCTGGCAATCAGCTTCCTTCGGAATGCAGACAAGAACACCCTTTGCAGCAGTTTAACTGTGAAACACGTAGGTCTGCCATGAGCAGTAAAATTCCTATGTACACCCTGGATGTCGTCCTACTAATGGGGAGTGAGGACATATTCTAATTTTGATTGACGTTTTATTTGGTTCTATATTTTGCTTCTCAGTCTTAAAAACAGTGTCTCTGAACAGCTTTGTAAAAACATGCAACCATTCACAAGTCAAGGAACATGCCCACAA